CGTACACCCAGCACACCCTCAGACACAGACACACCTTCATAAAATATAATTTAGGGAAGCATTTAAAAATATAACCGTAGGCCTACTAGCTTCCCATGCCTTGTGAATATTAAATAAACATAAAACAAATAATTTTTTTAATGAGAAATGAAAAATTAAAAAAATGTTTGATAAAAATCAAATGCCATTAATTTCTCAGAGCTAATATGAATAATGTCTGTAAAGCAACATGTCCAAGACAGTTGCAAAAAAATAATTGTGGACATGGATTTTGAGCCACATTTTGGGATTTTCATTTGCGCAAATGTTGGAGGTATTGGGAGAAATAGAGAAGACATTTATTCCATACTCCTTTTGGAAAATACATTGATAATTAAAGAAAATTAGTACATAGGAAAGTAACAAAATCACTATATATCAAACATATAATAAACTAAAATAATGTTACGCGTGGAACTAAAAACAACAGAAGAATTATGATCTATGAACAAGAGAAAAGAAAGAGCATGAGGCTGTTTAAAGGGAATATACAACATTTGCAAACATCGAAAAATAAAACTACCAAGTTTTAGCGAAATACCTTAATAGGATGTTGGTAAATGACAGTCTAAAATTATGGCACCCGGTGTGAAGTCATTTTCAAGAAAATGATATTTGGGCAATTCTTTGGTAACGGAATTACGCCCATTTGTCACTTTGTCGAGGATTATTCTTTCCCAAGAAAATATGTTCTATGCTAGGCAACTAATCTAAACATGGAAAGGGAGCCAAGACCCAATAGAATTGATTGACCGCTAAAAAAACAAAAATCCCACAAGATTACCCTTTAAGGGGCGGAGCTTAATATCGGTAATGGAATTACGGACGGAGGACAAGCATATTTGAGTTCTCGCATAAATTAATAAAACTCTCTGAAGTTTTGAAATTTTAAAATTGGACACTACCTGTTATTTGTAGAGTTCAGGGGTGTTGTTAACTACAATGCAGAACAAAGTTGAAAAAATAATCACTCTTTTCATAATTTGCATTTTAATCACGGTAACGGAATTACGCCTGGGCGGTAACGGAATTACGCCATAGGTTTACATGTTACAGGTAAATGCAATACAATAACATTGAATTCAACATAAACTCATCACAATACAAATTTTAGAAGTTTATAAAATGCCACAAGGGGAAAGCTAAGTGAAAATTAGCAGATCAAAATGTAAATGTAGGCCTAAACATGTCTGGGCTTCATTTTTTAGGTCAAAGGTCAAGGTCAAATGAAAGCAGTCTGGTGATGGCTGCATTGCCTGTTAGCAATGTATATTTGTTTTTACTGAAAATCGAATTTTACTATGAACAATTGTATTATCGTATTTCACTAGTTTATCGTGGAAAATACAATAAAACTGCACTGGTTGGCATCTCTGAGCAAGGGAAGATGTTAAGTTATGCCAAGTAGAAGTACAAGTACAGTCTGGTACTAACTTTCATATACTTGTTGTGGAATATATTTTCTGTGGGTACGTGACAACGGCTTTGGCAACACATATTTAAAGGGAATGTACATCATTGGCTTTTGCTGTAATTTTCAGAAATGAACTATTTGAGGGGTTAGTATAATAGATCAAATATTGTTACACTGACATGTTTGAAGTTTTGTGTTTGAAAATGCTGGAAAAACCAAGAAAAACAAAGCTGTTCAAGTACTCTGGCTCCTTGACTCCACTAAAGGTAAAATGGATCAATTTATAGATGCCGGAAAATTGGAGGGTAAGGGAACCAGACTAGCTGGCCTGCACCCGTTCATGAACATGTAACAAATACCCGGTAGCAAACAAAATTTGGACTGGAAAGAGTGTAAAGTTGGAGCAGTAGTTGAAAAATAGTTAGGTTTTTCCAACGGTGGTCGGCCAACCACCGTTGGAAATGTATACAAACATATCATTTTCTTGAAAATTACTTCACACCAGGTGCCATAATTTTACAGGATGCTTTAGACTGTCATTTACCAACATCCTAGTAAGGTATTTCGTAAAAACTTGGTAGTTTTATTTTCTGATGCTTGCAAATGTTGTATATTCCCTTTAAGCATCCAAACAACTATTAGCATTTTTTAAATAGTAAAAAAGAAAAAGTAAAAGTAAAAAATATCAATGGAACACCTGATTATTTTTAATTGTATAATAGCAAATTAAAGAGGGAAATGATTTAACAAGTAATTTAGTATTTAAAGTTATTGTCCAAGGTTACATGCAAATCTCCTATTTAATATGTCATGGAGGAAATGTGCATACTTTGTGCATGCGTAATTCCGTTACCGTAATTCCGTTACCGTTTCGTAATTCCGTTACCACTTGGAAAAATGCCAAGAAATTACTATTTTAAAGTTTTTATTTTTCATTAACGTTTATAGTAGGGTCTTTTCTCAACACACATGATTTGAAGAAAAAAAACAAGAAAATTTGTAAAATAAGTAACTTTTGCCATTTTTTCGGTAACGGAATTACGTGCTAATTTTGACATTTTTAAATGAAGGCCTACACTATATATATATATTTATATTTTTAGATTTTTTTTTAATGACCCAGAGTAATGTTTGTAACTTGTAACATCATAAAATAAATCAAATCTTTTCCCTATAATTCAGAAAGTAATACATACACGAAATTTTATTTTTTTACCAAATCTGAACGTTTTTTTATCATAAATTGCAAAAATCACTGTTTTTACCAGAAATATGTATTTTTTTTTCAATTTCGTTTTTGAACTGAATTCCCCATTTAATTGAGGTCTGGAAAAAGTACAAAAAAGGTTTAATATGTAAATATTTATTTTGGACATTTTTTGCTCTCCCATGGAGAATTTGTAAAAATTTCCAGCGGTGGTCGGTCGACCACCGTTGGAAAAACCTAACTATTTTTCAACTACTGCTCCAAATTTACCATTAATTCAGTCCAAATTTTGTTTGCTATTGGTTACATGTTCATGAACGGGTGCAGGCCAGCTAGACTTGTTCCCTTACCTTACAATTTTCTGGCATCTATAAATTGATCCATTTCATTTTGAGTGGAGTCAGGGATCCAGACTACTGGAACGTTTTTGTTTTTCTTGGTTTTTCAAGCATTTTCGGACACAAAACTTCAAACATGTCAGTGTAACAATATTTTGTTCCATTATACTACCCCTCAACTAGTTCATTTCTGAAATTACAGCGAAAGCCAATGATGTACATTCCCTTTAAGTAAGCCAACAGCCAGTACACTGAGACCCCAAAAAATAACAACTACAATCGAAAAAAGGACTCAAGACTCAAAGACTCAGAAACTTACAGCAAAATAATACGGCAAGAAGAAATAACTTCCAATAGGCCTACTGTTTGTATGTGGAGGAGACTAGTTCGTATTTTACCCCATTTCCTGTTTTACAAAAAAAAAACCATTACATGTAGTTAGCAATAGAAGATTGAAAAACAGCATGCTATATGACTTAGCCTTTTGAACAGCATCACCTACCAAGTTTCTGATTAGTTTGGATCATTCCACTACTACAGCCATCACCAATTTTAGGGATTTACACCACTTTGTTTATACCAAGAGATATTGCTTTTCTTTTTAACAAAGATTTGCAGAGAGTGTATGAGGAATATTAGCTTGTATACCCCAAAACAGCATCACCTTTAAATATCTATGAAATCTAACAAACCTACCGCCAGGCCTACACAGCCTTGTGGTTAATTGCGAAGGCTTTGCGTCTAGCTTTGTTAAGCAAATTTAATCCAATTACGTACAGTGACGCTGAAACAGAGCAGTGAAATCAATGCACCCCAAAAAACTTGGCTTTTGTAAGGTTCTGTTTTTCAGTATGATTGTAATGTTAAATTATAACAGATTTTGAAGAAGAAATTTTACACATCATGTTAGTGAAAAAAATCGCCGTTATTGATGCCGTAACATCAATACTGGTCACTGGTAAAGCTGACCTAAAAGTCGTGGAGAAATCGTTCGAAAAGCTCCCCAAATCTTTTTACTTATCTCAATTTCTAGGAATCCTCACAAGTTTTTATTTCATGAGTAGTTGAACACTATTATAATCAAAGTATTTTCTGAATTTCAGCTCTAGGATTTTGCCAACCGAAAGAACACATGGGTTTCAGGTTGGCCGATTTTGCCACAACAATGACGAGGTGCATTATTAGCATATTCATTAGCGTGCCGGCGTGACTTCATTTGGTCACCTTATCGACCAATAAAAGCTGGGGAAAAAGAGTGATAGTGTATTAATTAATAACTCGTGAAGGAGGCGATAGTGCACATTTTTACTGCACACCATAATGGATAGACCCCTTATTAATATTTGTGAGGCTTGAAAAGATTGACATATATTGCAAACACCAGTATTACAACTTTGAAAAATGGACGTACCCAAGCCTATTTTTCCTATTTCAACGAAAAATACTGAACATATCAAAGTGATTTTTATCACATAGTTGGATCATTATAAGGGAAACAAACCCTGATAGTTGCATGAAGATACGGTCTTCCAAACGGGAGAAATTGATTTGCAAAGATTTCGACCGCGAACATCAACATGTCTGTGTGCATGTTGTTTCATTCGAAATAAAGCATTACACAACCTTCAGATATCAGGCTCCGTAAGCACAGTTGGAGAATCTTTCTTGCTCCTACCATGGTTACAGAGTGGGATTTTCTTATTCGAGCCAACCTTATTTGCTACACGCTATCAAGTGCTTCTATGAATAGAATGCAACAATACCAACTCAAGCCATTGGTGAATTAGACAGTCGTAGTGGGTGGAGCTTGGGGTGGAGTCTGCAAAGTTAAGATTTTCTATTGGCCAAGGAATTAACGTCCGTCGTGTGTTCGTCCAAAACGCACAAACACTACTTGCACTACTCAAATACAGAAGAGATCATGTGCCCTCCCTTTCCTGTATTTGTGGTTTCCCACCTTTTGTTGATAATGAACATTGACTTTATACTTTATACTGATGAGAATGCTGGCTGGTGAGCACAATCTCATGTGATTTATTTCATTCATCACAACAGCATTTTCAAAAAGTGGGACAAAAGGAGTGACTTTTCATAAAAGGCCAAATTTGTCAATTTTGGTCTGAAAACATTGATGCTACAATACACCTGAATTGTTTCATCCAATTTATCCATTTTCTCTTTTTCATGCCCATTCACTTCAATATTATTTTAATCCGCCCTAAACTTTCCATTGATAAACAATTATGCTACATTTACTTTGAATACACCTCTTTTCCTTAGTTTTGTAAAATAAAATGACTTTTAACAAGAAAATTCCAATGCTTTTATCATTCTCTTTTATACAAAACTGTAGTTTCACCGCATCAAAGCTAAAATACAATTCTGAATTAATGTATTTTGACGTACCGCTTACTTCCGCCAAATCCAGGAAGAAATTGACAAAAATGGCATCAAGGGGACTTGGGCTCTTTAGTGTTTCATTAACAATCCCTGAAATTTTCAAAGATTGTATCAAAGATGATTTTTTTTTTACCATACGCCCACTGACTCAGTGTAAAGGAGGATGATATCAACGATTTTGCTGAAAGGCCTCTATCTGGAGCATAAGAGATAAGTTGATGTGGAGCATGTGGTAAGAAGAGCAGTTAATGGTTTTGAAACCATTACGGAAACTACCATGAGCAGACAAAGCTTTCGGGGAAACCAATGTTGAGTTTTGGCATGGTACCAACATTACTGCTAAGTTGAGGAGCTCATCTTGTGGAAATCCCTGTCAATAACAGCAATATGAGAAAAATCATAAGTAACTTCATTTGACTATGAAAACAATAATACCGTATTACTATATGATTTAATGAAGTATTCAATTTCCAGATGAACGTTTTTTTAAGATGGTCATTAAGTGATATCACGAAAGGAATTCTGCAGAGATTGTGAAGGTCAGGAATGTGACATGCAACCAAACATTGTGTTTAAAGCTATACAAAATCATTTGCTTTTTGTGCATTTTTTTTTTTCTTTTTAAACAAAAAGAATATTGCTCACAATGTTAGGTAGGGTGCATAACCTGTTGAACTTTAAGCCCAGAGGATACTAAACATTTTAAGAAAATATAGACAACGTACACTGTTACAAGTCACAAGTCAAATTTGATACGGCTGGGCAGGTCAAAGTTAACCTGACACTTTTAGTGGTCAAAATGACACTTCTCTGAGTCACTTTTCCCAGGCCATTTGACCCGGAAAATTAAGGGATTATCACTTTGTTCAAGTATCCCTTTATGACGACAAAAGTGATCATACTGTAAACTGACATTATACAACCTAACTTTAAAAATGCAGGTTAATGTAGCAAAGGAATTGTGGGATAAAGACTTACTTGATCTGTTGATGGTATCTTCAGAGGGAAGTGCTTCAAAGCCTTGTCCTTCTACTATGTTTATCACTTCCTCAGTTTCACTGTCATCTGTCGTCAACAAACATGTACCAGGCATTAAGTCATTAAAGGGACGCTGTGTCCTGCAAAGCTCCCAATTGGGCTACAAAATGTGTTTTTCATATTAAAAGTAGAATATAAATATCCACATACTTTGACTTCCTGTCAATCAGGCCTTTAAAAATAGTGTAGCGGTACTGCCTTGGACGACTGCCCCGGCCAATAGCGGCGAACCACCTAGCCTCTACGGTCGGGTACGCAGATCCGTTTCGGTGGAAGTTTACCACCAGGCCCGCAGCAGACTACCAAAACAACAACCAATCACGCACTCACTCCACTCACTGGGCTGACAGGCATTATTTCCCTTATAAACTCAGAGATGACTTAATTATCTGGATTATGATACATGAATCATTTGTCAATTACACTCACACGTAGTATGAGGCTTCCTCCACTGCGACTATAGGTGATTGGTTATTATGGGAGATTAGAGCAGTGTGAGAACACTTCATGAGACCACGCTTGGGTTACGGCCACAGCAGAAAGAGAGCAAAGCTGAGTGCGTGACCACTTATATACACTGGCGCTATTGGCTGGTGGCCCAACAACATGGGTGAATGCACGCGATGCCTGCTGGCTACCAGTAAAGAACTAAAGTGCGCCCTCTATAAAATGCAATGCGCTACATTAGAATAGGTAAACAATCTACTGATTTTCAGGACCATATACCCCTTTAACTTTCAAAAAGACGAGATAACAATAACCAAACTTATATTTCCACTTTCACCTGATGTCTAGAGCTTTTTTTTTAATATGCATATTTGCCCTGAACAAGGCTTAAAGCACTCAAGGTAATAGACGTACAATTTCAGATGCAGCCTAACACTACTCATGTGTTATAATACCAGCAAGTTTTGCAAACAAACCCCATTAAGATTATAAAAACAAAATGGAAACTTTCAACTTAGGGGGCAAGATTTGTTTGCAAAGATTTCAGATGCAAAAGCAGTGTCTCCTCGGTGATAGCAAAACTCAGGTGGAAATCATTGGAAGAACGAACGGCAATATTCAGACTCATGCTATTGTACAAGTCATTACATAACAAGTACCAGACCAGTTAAATGTGGGGGCATCAAAACCAGACAATATCTTCCGTCTCATTCAATTACCAAACTGCAAAGAACTGTATTCATTCCTGCCAAGGACTTTTGACGAATGGAACCTTCTTTCAACAAATGTTAGAGGCAGATCATTGGAGTACTTTAAAAGCGAGCTGAACATGCAGTCTGCAGATCATTGAAATAAACGGGGACAATTTTATTGTTTGCCACTATATCCACCATGTGCCTGCAAAGTTAATATACAGCCCGCTTAGAGTTAAATTTGTTGCAGTAACCTACAGAGTATTCATTTTGCACATTAAACTGATGACGTCCTCAAACTAAAATTAAATTTCTGGGCATGATCAATGGCAAGCTATCATGCACTGACCACATCTCTTGCATCTTGAATGTCATCTTTCAGAAAATATAGTTGTTCTGTATAGATTGCACAAGCATCACGCCAACACAATCTGAGCATGCACATGTTGGTTTTCTAGTCCACTTTCTGTCATAGTCGCGTACTTATTGCTCTAGATCTTGGAGTATGCGATCATTTTCCTAAAACAAAAAGTGCATTAAAGTCCTTGTATTTTATGCGATTTAACTTTTGCACAAGGTGACAGCGATTACAGCAGGGGCGTAGCAAGGTCGTTTTTTATTGGGGGGGGGGGGTAGGGTAAAAAAATTCTTGAAAAAGGCACTTGTACATCCATGCTGAAATGTAGACACAGATTTTTTTCTTCGGACACTTGGCCTCCGTAAAACCAAATGGGGGTTGGGGGGGGGGGAGCTGGTACCACGTACTTGACTTAATTCTATAAGTCTGATTGACTTTACGCTTGTCAGACACTAAGACCAGCAGTCGAAAATGGTCCCCAATGAATTCGTAACGATGATGTCATCATGTGTCACATGACCTGACATTAAATGTGCATTTTTTCAAATCGCTGTATCACGTCGGAAGTACAAGTCCGATTGGGTTAAAACTTGGTATGCACATCCACAGGGATGTGTTATAGATGGAAATGGAAGTGGCGTCATCATCAAATGTCATGTGACGTCCCTTAAAGGGGCATTTTATTCATATATAAGGCCTATATGTACAGAACTATAATGTTTGATTTGGTTGAAACGTGTATGTATAACGTGCTGTTATAAGACATTTGTAGTGACATCAATAATTGCTCAACACGTGCACAGAGTGTTTCAAATATCCGAAACAGCTTGTGTTACGTTTGTCCACAAACACATTTCTAGTTTTTAGTGAGTCTATGTGCATGAACATATGACTTAAGCTTTGCATGGCGGATGAGATAAATTATAAAGTTTGCAGGTAATACCGTCCATGCAGAAAGAAATATCTTTTTTGGAAGAAGTGTGGTTGTGAAATGAACCGGTTGGTTGAGTGTAGAACTCAACGTTTCACACAGTGTGCTCTGTCAGTCCTCAGGAGGTTGAATGATGAGATGTGGAAGATGCTACAGGTTTTTATGGCTGTGTGTTCGCAGTGTCGCTTTGGGCGTGTGTCGTTTTGTTCTCAAGGTGCTTTATTCTGACCAAGGGCGCAACTTTGAATCAAGAGTTTTTGCGGGAATTTGTGGTATCCTCGGAATTGAGAAGACACGTACCTGTCCCTACAACCTCAAATCCGACAGCTTGATTGAAAGTTCCAATCGCACCCTCATTACAATGGTGGCAATGATGATCGAGCCAAGTGAATGACATCGTGATTGGGATGAGAAACTTTCACTGGCTACGTTTGCTAACTGAGCAACACCCCAAGAGTCGACAGGCGAGTCACCCAATATGTTAATGCTTGAAATGTGAACTGCGCCTATCCATTGACCTGACCACCAGAGTACCTGGTGACAAGGAAGAGGAAATAGTTGCTGTGGAGTGAGAAAAAGCGTAGGATGTGCGGCAGAGGTCGAGGACAGCTCATGGGAGGGCGCAAGAATGCCTAAAGCAGAGTGCTAGGCGACAAAAGGCACACTAAGATCAACGACCTGTTCAAGAAAAACTGCAGGCAAGTAACTTTGCATGGCTGCATATAATCCTGCAAAACGAAAGGGATTGTCGCCAAAGCTACAGTGCAGATGGGAGGGCCCTTACATAACAACACAGATCAGATGTCATCTATCGAATCCAAAAGAATCCACGAGGGAAGAAAATGGTAGTTCATTGAAACAGATTGAAAGTTTATGGAGGAGAGCCAATCATAGCATGGACAGAAAGTGAAACTGACAAACCGTCTAGCCAACAGAGTGATGAAGCAACCGCTGTGCAAAATGTTCGACAGGAATTACCGCAGAGTACAACGAGTTCACCTCCAGACGACAATGATTAATTACATGTTTAGAGTGAACTTGACATTTCTGATACCGTGATGCCCCAGGAAATCTCTCTGGATGCGTCAGTACAACTTTTGGAGCCAATAAAGACACAAGGTGCGTGGAAGGTGGAGCCGAAAGGGAGCACGGGTTCTCAACAGACCATTGCGTCGCGACAGTTTAGCAGCAGGCCCACAGCACCACCACCAAGGCAGCACAGGAGGCCTAGTAGATATTTGTAAAGAGGGAAAAGAAAACAACACTACTTGGTTTATAATCACACTCACCCACCCATGTATCCACATAATGACACGTAACAGTGACCAGCTCTTCTCTTTGTGCGTATTCTGCTGGCCAGACAAGCTACAGGCATGAATGGGGAAAGATCGAAAGGAGGAGGAGTCCCGGGACGTCAGAGGAGAGAGAAGTCAGTGCCCAAAGTGCAAGATATCATTGCACATGAGAAGCCTTGACCAACCCCAAAATCCTGTACTTCTGTGGGAGATGTTCACATGCTACCCTGAGCAGGTGGATGAGGTTGAGACTATCCAAGTTACATTGTAAGATGATAATGTGCGTGAGAAACACCAGACGGAAGATGAGTGAGAGCAATCAAAGACGCCTAGGTGCGGCAGAGAGGAGAGTGACAGTAGGAGAGAAGAGACACATAACAGCCATGATGGAGGCAAGTGTAGGTGTAAGGAGATGCCTAAAGGTTGAGAAAAGAGAGTAGGAAAGGTGACGGTCTCTCCAGATAGGAAGCAGAAACATGTATATTGTTTTCTCAAAGTGTTTCTGTCAAGTTTATTGTTACAGTTTACTCCTTAAAGTACGAGTTTATATTTTACAGAGTTTAGAGCTTTACAGTTTCGTAAAGTAGGTGCATTGCTATTATGCTTGTATCGGTTTATAGGTCAGGGACTGACCAAACCTAGAAGGCGCCAATGTAGCGCAATGCAGAATCGATTAATGCGACAACCAATTTTTTTGGGTGCTAGGCTATGCCTTGGTTGGTTTCTAGCCGTCTTATGTGCACAGTCAGAGATGTTTACATGCCATCCTGAGCCGGTGGATGAGGTTGGGCTATCCAGCTACAATGTCAGTGATAATGTGAGATCGCTTTGTCGCCTATGTCAATGTCTCATGGGGAGACTGACAAGGAGCCTATTCCAAAGCCTGAATGGAAACCCCCGATTGGGATGACGCATCCGAGTCATCAACAAGGAGCTGATGGGCAGCGGGAGAGTTGACAGACAAGTCCCTCCCCCTGGATGAAGAGAAGAAGGTGCCTATACTTGCTTTCTGGTACGGTCGTGAGAATCACAGAGGAAGGTTCCACAACTGTAGTCAGTGGTGCAACACAGACCAGGCGCAGTTCTACAGGGGGGCTAGGGGGGCTTTAGCCCCCCCCCCCAAAATTTTGTCTAGCCCCCCAAAATAAATTCCTTTAAAAAAAATTGCATTAGCAAAAAGAAGGATTGTGATGTACATGCGAATGGTGTCCCCCTAAAGAAATAGTCGTGACAAGGGTGCATTAGTTAATATAGTGTGAATGATTTTAGGATTTTATTGGCGCTCCCCACTGAAAATATGGCAT